TTTTTGGAATCCATTATTAATCGATCTCTTATTGGATTTACCACAAACAGATTATGATCAACAAAAGGCAAAATTCATTGAACAATGTCGAATATGTTATCGAGCTGATAAATATTCATTAAAACAAATCGATGAATTTGAAAATGATTATAAACCTCATTTATCCATTCAATGGTATAAAAGTAATTCATTTGTCTATCGTCTATTGAATAAAGTTCTACGTCAACGAAATATCGAAGGTATAATTACTTTGCGTTTTTTCATATTAGATCTATTCAAACAATTGAATCAAATATATTATGAATATATTGAATCAAATATTTATGAAGACAATACAATTATTGAAGTTTATAGAGGACAAGAAATGTTTAATACTGAATTTGATAATCTAAAGAAAAATTTAATACAAGGTCGAATAGTATCAATTAATAGTTTTTTTTCAACTACTCGAACAAAAACAGTAGCATTGGAATATGCTGGTTTAATGTCTACTGATCATATTACTACAAATTTTTCTTCACATAAAAAACGTCTTCTATTTCAAATTAAGATTAATATTAATCATCAAATGCAATTGAAACGAAAACCATTTGCTGATATAAGTCAATTATTATATAAAGGTAAAAAAATTAAAGTAGATGAATATGAAGTTCTCTTCATGGTTGGTTCTTTTTTTCGGGTTGATGAAATTATTGAGAATCAAGAAATTGAAATACCTATTGAAGAAGAAATAATCAAAAGTACAATAACACTTGTGAAATTAACATCAATCAATGAAGAAGATAAAAGTATACCAATTATAAATGATTATCAAATTTTAAAATCTACAAAAACAATCGAAGAAAAATTAATTCGCATTGGAAATTTACTAATCGATTATTCTTTATCTATTCAATCTTTACATTCAAAAGTTGATGCATACTATAAAATCTTGTTTGATGAATCGAAAATTATGATAGCTACTGCATGTTTAACAGGTCAAGCATGGGTAGCATTGAAGAGAGGAGAGTATAAGTTAGCTATAGAACTTGCATTGAAAGCTTTATCGATGAATAATAAATTTAATAATGAATTGAAAATAACTACTCTCAATTGTCTTGGTGGAATTTATCATAAATTAAAAGATTATCCAACTGCACTTAAATATTATAAAAATGCCTATGATTTATCAAAACCAACTGATGAAAAAATAGCAGAAAATAATTATCATGGTCCATGTATTCCAATTGATAAGTATGCAATGTATGATAATTATCAAAATATATCTTCGATTAATATCGCAATTATCTATCAAAAACAAGACGAGATTCGACTGGCATGGAATATGTACAAAGAGACTATTGATTGTGAAATGCGTGATACGACGGATTTTCATTGTCATACATGTATGACAATAGCTGAATCAGGAACTCATGAATCGATGATAAGCTTAGAAGAACACAATCGAATATGGAAGAATTGGAAAAGTTTTCTTGATCTTGGTCTTATTGATATATTAAAATATCGTACACCAGCTATTACAGGTTATTTATCATTAAGTCATCAATATGATTTTCCTTCACGTCGATATAATAATGATTATTGTCGAACAATGGCAATTGATTATTTTCGACAAGTTGAAAATAAATGTACACCATATGTTGCAAATCATCAATATTATCTATATATTCTTCAATGTTATGAACGTCTTGCAGATTTATATGGATATTGGAATACTCGATCTACAGAATATTATGAAAAGATGATTCAATTATGTTTGAAATATTGTTCAGATGATTTAGAAAATCTGATCATCGCTTATCAAGGTATATTAAAAACATTCAAAGAACAACAAAGAAGAGGAACGAATATTTCAGAAGATATTTCACTATTGCTATGTGCTAATACAACTAATGCTGAATTTATAGAGATGACACCGCCTGTAACACCAATGACATCACCTATTACTCCGTTCACACCACCAATGTTCGGATCACTTTTTCAGAATATTAGACGGTTACATTTTGCATTTGGTTGTAATGATAAATGGATCGATCCTCGATTGAAAACTGAGCGAGATCTTCGTAAGAAAATCATTTATTGTTATATGAAGTTAGCAAATTTATATTATGAACAAAAGAAAATAATAGAAGCTAAAGATTTATTAACAGAAATCATCTCATTATGTCAACAATTCGATTCAGAAATGTTGGATATGACAAATATTTGTTATGAAAATCTGTCCTTTATCAATGAGAATTTTGATTTCATTATTCAATCGTATAAAAATCAATTATCAACAATTATTAATACTGTAGGTAATTGTATTAATGAAGATATTTATTGTTACATAGCACAATTATATGAAAGAAAAAATGATTTTAATTCAGCATTAGAATTCTTACAAATTCCAATTCAATATTTTGAGCAATATAATTATGTATGTATACATACTATCGATTGTTATATTAAATTAGCTAAACATTATCAAAATATTAGAAATAATAAAGAGTTGACTGTTCATGTGTATGAAAATGCAATAAATCTTATTAGAAGACATCGATCATATCCAATGACATCGATGATTTCGATTGTTAAGGAACATTTAGTTGACTATTTCAACACAATCAATGATCTAGATACAATGATTATTATCTATGAAAAACTATGCGAAATTGTTCAACAAGAAACAACTGATATTACAGTTTTATATAATCGTTTTAAACAAATTTTAAAATTATTAGTTAAAAAATATGATGCATTTATTGTAGTTCTAAAGGCTTATGATGCTTATCTCGATTTAATTTTACAAATAATCAGCCCACTAACCTCACAAATGACAGTAGTTTTCACTCATTTTCGATATCATTTTGTTAATGCATATAAAGAATCCAATATGATATGTTCAACAATTGAAATTTATCAGAAATTAATATGTCTTCTATTAAAACATCAATATAATACAATGAAAATTATTAACGAATATAAAATTATTGGTGCTGGATTTACAAAAAAACATCTGTTAAAAGATTCAGTCATAGCATATGGACTTTTATTGAATTTTATATGTCAATATCATTCGACTGGTGGTTTTATCGAAAATGATTTAATTAAATTTGTTTTTTATATCTGGGAAAGTGAAATTATTGGAAAGTATTTGATGGTAAAGGATTTCGATGCAGCCATCAATTTATATTGTGAAATGATTCATTTTCTCAAAGAATATTGCACAAATGTGAATAGGAATTATGATCTAAATGCATTTGTATCGAACATACTGAAAAATTATGATGAAATAATTAAAATCTATCAGCTAATGAATATCGATCTGGAACAAATAATGAATATTTATCAAAAACAGATTGAATTTCTAGCAAAATATCGAGTTGTAACTGTTCATGAACATATTAAGACAATCATTTCAAAATGTCGACAATTCGCTACAGATCACAAAAAACAAGCGATAGAATTATACTCAAAACTAATTCTTTTCATTCAAAACAATCGTCTTAACTATTTAACTCATTTAGCAATTGCCTCTAATGATTTTGTTCAATTAAGTATTGCCAATGACAAACCAGAACCACAACACCTGTATTTCACGAATCAAATTAACACTAACTGTTACTCGACAAATCAATATCGTATTGCAGATCTTCAACAACGTATCTTAGATTATAAAGAAAAAGCAAAAAATTATTTAAATAATAAACAATTAAATAAGGCAATAGCAGTTTTTAGAGATGAACTTTTACCATTTCTTTTGGAAAATCATGCACAAGATGATGAACAAATTGCTATGTGTTACAAACAAATAGCATTATTGTTTTACAGACAGAATGAAGATGGTGTTCGACAAGCACTAGACTATTATGAAAAAGTTATTAATATTTATGAAACACAAAACGATGAATTTTATACAGAATATACATTTAAATTAAATCCTAATATTTGTCGGCGTTATGCAGAAACACTTTTTACGTGTTATAATTCCATGATGGAAATTTATATCGCTCTAAAAAATCAAAAATTGGTCGAGATGTATGGACAAAAAGCAAATTATATCTATGAAAAATATAGAGATCAATTTCAATTTTCTGCCAATCCTATAACGCATGTTATTACAATAAAAAGACGTCCGATGGTTGAATTAAATTATTGACATTGACTTTATCATTTAATAAAAAACGTTCTAACACAAGTTTTTCACTATATTAATCATCTATGATTCTAAGAAAAAAAAGCATCTATTAGAAATTATCTTTACTATGCATTACAGATGGTGCGCATCAGATCTCTGCGGGACAATCAAAAAGTCGTCTCGTCCCGTAGTCTTTTCGTATCGTGCCACTGATCATTTTTTTCTAAGTTCTTCCCATTTTTCAATAACTATCTCGTCTTGATTATTGGTAAGGTATGCTTGAAGAGTTTTTTTTTCTCAATTTTCAATAATACTTCGATCATTCAAGGAGCATCCAGAGTTGGGAATAGAAGTGTTGAGGATAGAGTTAATAAAAATCTTCCACTCAAATAAGTATTTGAGCTAGTAGTCGTGACTATTTAAACTCAACCAACTTGTTTCAAGCCACTTCTTCCGAACTATTGATCAAACATTTTAATCATAAAACTCATGACTTTGGTTACAGCACTGAAAGCAATGATTAGGATAGTGATCGTTTGATAGATTAAGTTTATGAAGTGTTGAAAGAATCTATGAAATTTGATTGAACTGAACTTGCATTCTACGCTAAATTTAGAACAATTATGGTAACTTTTGCTTCCGCATAGTGGCAGCAACTTCATGAGTACATGACTGGATATTGCCAGTATATACTTTGAAATTATGGGAACTCTTGAATAATTGTCAGATGCTTATTTTACTAGCAACTATAAAAATAACCGTATCCTGCGGAGCGCTGGTACACACGTTAACTGTACCTAAACATTGTTTATATGATACTGCATCAAGACATATGGTCACTCAAAAATGACTTAGGTTTTAAAACAAATAACGCTCGCTGCCACGACTCGCTAGATCCTCGACTGGATCCGACTTAAACATCATCTTTCACCCTTCGCTGGATTCAGTTGTTGAGAATTATTGCTCAACCGACACGGCCATACAAAAGAGCTGTTTATAATATTGTTAGTGATGACCATTTTATGAAAAAAATCAAAACTTTCTATTGAGATTTTCTAATGTGACCCATAAGAGATAGATCGTAGTCAGTCGTTGGCGTTCCTCCGAGTTATCACTCCCTACTACTAGGTTTCGCACATGCTCCAGGTATAATTCAAAGTACTGATTCATTGTTTTGTTCAAGAAACTTTAAGTAGTACCTAAGAAACCTATAAAAATGCGCTTCTTACAACACATGTTGACTATCAACTGGCTGTAGTCAATATAATAAGAAGATTAATAAATTTAAAGCACCATAATCTCTCTTTTGACTAATTCGTTTCTCATAGCCTACACGTGGTCATTAGAATATTGTTGTATGAGGTCTTTTTTTAAATAACTACTTGAAGCATTCTGCAATTCTCGTTCTTCATATTCTCTGAAACAATAAATGACATGTCTTCCTTTGACAGATATGATCCATGCGAACAAGCATTGTCGTAGGCAACAGAGATTTCATTGTGCTTTTTTGTTCAACACTCTTGCGATTGAGACTCATTAAATAGTTAATATACAGGTAACGCTCATTCTATGGATTCGCTGACTCTCTTTTGAGATATATGAAGATGTTGCTGTACTTTAAGAAGGATATGTTGATCGATTATGTTGTTGTTTGTCCCTCACAATAACGCACATTTTCTTCACATTTTCATGTAAGCTCTTCTTCAGTTTGACGCGACAAATTCAGTTTCAGGTCAGTTATAATAGTTATTCTCGATTCGTATTTGATGTAGACTAGGAAGGTATAGAACTTAAAAACTCTTAATTCCAAATCTGTCGACATAGATAATCAAAATCAAACTCACCAAAATTGTTTGGATTAGTGTCCCATACAACTAAAAGAAACACAATAGATGTCCAACAAATCAAATCTACACTGTAATTCCTGCTAAATTTCGTGAAAGATGATTCATATTGAAATATTTCAATTTCGCTTGCATTGTAGTATATTTCTTTGAAACCCAATAGCTTTGAATTCGTCCATCTTTCTGAACAAAAAGATCATAAGATAATCTGACAAAATATTACGACTTTCGTACTATTATGATTGAATTAGAAATAAGTTGATATTATTAGTGCATGAAAGTTATCATCAATCTGGTTTTTACAGTAATTATCCTTTACGTTTCAATCATGAAAAATGTGCCTTTTTTTAAATCTAAATTGACACTAGCTTAAAAAAAATTTCTAAGAGATGTTTTCTATCGAATGTACTTTCTACATGTTTTACTTCTGTAGAAAAGTGTTTCACAGATTTGATTAGGAAAAATAATTTTTCATTCTTGTACCACTTTCGGGCAATGCTTCAACCGATCGAGCCCAGTTGGTAGAGAACTTTTCTTTAGTTTATTTTTTCGCATATATCATTCATTTTTATCTGAAACCTAGTCAAGTAACACTTTACCTTCTTGCACAAATATTATTGGATGATCAGTAACAACATTCTCGATTTAAAATTTAAAATACTAGAACTATTCAGAAATTATCTATAGATAAGAGTATGCTGCATCGACTCGGATAAAATTTCAGTGTGAATAAGCACGTGATTGTTCAAGTCAAACAAAGAAAAGGCTAACACTGACTAGACATGCAAAGTGAGCTTATTAGCCAGATTCATTCGGGAACATGAAAAATCTGATGGCTTCAAAGTTATATTCGAAAAAAAAATGTAATTTGGTGAAATTCCAGCACCAAAAATCTAATTGAACACAAGAAAAATAGCCAAAACATTTGATTGATTGAATTCTCGGCATGAAAAGTCTTGATTCTTAAAAAGTCATTATAAGACCTCACAACTGCGTGTACACGTGACTTTACACGTGTGTGCAAACATACGAGTATACACACAGACGAACTCATTCTATTTCGTATGACCCTGCCTACAGTCAAGGGAATAAAGCATTATTTTGTGTTTAGAATTGCTCAGCACAGATTAGAATTTCATCTGTGATAGTGTTTCTGATGAAAATTTAACAACAGAGTGCATTAAGTTTCGTCACATTTTGTTAATATATGTACCAGTTGCATTTCAGATTGATAGGGATAATAGATTTGTTGTTATTTCACTTGACAAAAAAAAACATTTTTTTTTTATTAAATATTTCGACATTGATGATACTATTAACTGTGAAAAACGAAGGATATATTCAATTTATCAAATAATGGAACTTCTGCATATGTTCTTTACTAGCTATATCAAATCACATTTGATTCTAACAAAGAATGCCTTCATATAAATCATTAAAAAGAAAGTTTGATGCCACGCTCTACAATTTTAATCTCATCAGTAGTTTTTGCGAAGACGAAAAAAAGATTTCAATTAACAGTATGTTTTATTTCCTGAATAAGAATAGAATACAGAAAGTCACGTATATGTTGTAACATTGTACATATGACTAATTTAATCCTTCTTCTTCACCAAAACGTGGTTCATCATCATCATCATCATCATCAGTTGTTGATGTAAAAGTTCCACGTCTAGGGTTTAGATCCGGAGAATGTATTTGATCGTATTTTACATCAGTTGCTGTTTGATATCTATGCCATTGATTTTCGTCATGATATCATACGGATTGATCCGGTTTAACAGCAAACAATTGTGGTCCCTCCTTAGTAATTGTTTTATAATATTTTGCACCTGGTACACCGTCTCCTTGTCGATTAAATTCAAGTTTCAGATCCAGCCACGAACATTCAATCCCTGTGGGTGTTTTAGGTGCTCGATCTTTGGTAGCAACATATGAAAATGTGCATGTGTCGTAATCCATAGTAGATGAAAGAGAATACAAACGTACGCTGTGTTGTCTAAGCTGTTACTTTTGCATGTTGTGTGTGTGTGCTTTTTTCTAACGTTCTTTTACTTCCTATGTTACATATACGTAGTGAAATTTAAACATTGGAAAAAGTCAAGTGATGAGTAATAAAATCTAAATAACATACTGAAATTTTCCAAGTGTATATTGGAATAAAAATACAAAACGTAAATAATTCTCATAAGATGGGGTGTAAGTGTGGGTGTCGATGTGAATATCAGTGAAGACAAGACCCACATCCAAAATCGGCTAAAATCAATAAAATTCTGATTATCATCTGCCATAATCGATTAGATTCTAGAATCAATAATAATCATTATTCAAAGAATCGGTTAAAATCAAGTGAGGCTAATTATTATCTACTAGAATCGATTATAATCATTAGACTACGAATCATCGAAAATCGACTAATACTGATTTTAATCGGGCACAATTGATTACGTTCTTTATTTTCCAAAGATGTTGTTTCGATAGGTATTTATTCATATATACTTTTAATCTCAAACAAGCTCAACACTTTTAATGAAAAAAGTCAATTGCAAAATAAAAACTAATTATAATTGCATGATGCTTACTACATCAGGATTTTTTAATGCCATCGACTATAGCAATCATATTCTCTTTGAAGTAATGATCTATACGCAGCAATTTCTTCATTTAATGTGTTCTTCTTATTTGTTCTTATATTCATTGGTGTAGATACATTTTTTTTTATAGATTGAATTAAGAAATTTTATTATTGATGATGCTGTTGATTGTTCAGATTTACGTTTTATATCTAATTTTAATTATATTTGAATAAAATCTTGTTCATCAATAATTCTCTCGGTAATATGTTGTTCCTGTGATTCAATAATATCGGATTCAGTTGTTCATTTTTTGGTCTTGTTAAGGCTCGCCTGTCGAAAGTCACAATTTTCATCAAAAAAAAAAAAACTTGATTGTGAGATTTTTATGTGATTGAATAGCCCTCGCATTGTCTACTTTCGAAAACAGTACGATTTATCAAAATTTTGATACTTTTTTACGGCTTTACACAAGGACTGCTGATGATGTTGAAATAAAGAAAAAAATCTTTGTTTTTTCTTGAAAATGTTAATTATTGTTGCCTTTTGAATTTTTTCTAAGATTGCTCTTAGTGGAGAATTCAGCAAAAATGTGTGAAATAACTAGGAAACATTGCAAACGTTTAAACAAGTTGAGTCGTAGCCCGTATGTCTTTTCTACTACTGTTCATTTAATTATGTAATTATTTCGACAGTGTTATGTTAAAATAGACGCATTTTGCCGTAAATATGCGTTCTCTTTCCTTTCTTTTGATCTTTTGTCTTTGTAAGAAGTTGCTATTGTTGGTGTGGATGTGAATGAGTAGGACTGTTTGCGGACAGATGACATGAATAATCACATCCACATCTCATATGTTTTTCTATCCCAGATTCAAATTTTTAGACGCCATACAAGTATACACAAATCTTTGTTTGATCCGTCATAATTGATAACACATGTTAGACTACGATTGATATATTTTCTCTATCGTTTTACTAAACAGAAGGATTGATTTTTAATTGCAAACTTTATTTGACATGTTTCTCAAAACAAAGTTTTTTATTTTTTATTTTTTTGAATTATGTGTAGTAGATTGCTCAGCCATTTTACGCTCTAGAAAGTTCAGAAAGGTTTTAAATTGAAGAGAAAATAATGCTCCACAATTTCACATAGATGGAATTTTTTTCATTTTTGACGTCAACTCAAGATTTGCATCATTATACTTGGAAAGAAATCTAGGATGCACGAAGACCTACTTTTTGATCTTTAATATAGGAATAGCTGTTGAACAACTCAATATTTTAGACTGAAATTTTCAACTAGATCAGTTGTTTTGGGACGAAAATGAGTTTCTAACAGAGAAAGAAGCTTAAATTAAATAATATATTTCACTTTTTGATAAATATTCAAGTTTAGTAAGTTCAATTTTAAATAAACTTTTTAATCAATATAATTAATAATTCTCAACATCTTATAAATAATCATTAGATTTAAATGCTGTTTGAAGAGTGAATCGAGTTACATGATAGATATTTTTTTATAATTTATTGCAATTTAGGAAGATCACTACACATCATTGATAAAAGGCTTCTTTCCTGCTTTTGAACAACATCTTCCAATCGTACAATATTGTTATTCTTTTCCAAGAGAGCTGAAATTCGCCTTTTTGCAAGCTATCAGAAGAAAGATGGGTCTGACTGTTATGTGTTTACTTTTTTCTTCTTTTATTTTTCACTGTTCGTATTCTCATGTTATACTCTAATATCACCGAGACAGCAATGTAATGGTATTACAGAACGAAACCAAAGAATAATCTCCCTTCGCATGAAATCGAACCATGCATCTCCTGCTTTCCGGACAGTCGTATTAACCACTGTACTGGAGAGGAGTGTATCTTATTCTGTTTGTTTCGTCTTATGAATGAAGGGGAACACTTCAATTTATAACACCTCTCCCCTACACGGAAAACACGTGTAGTGCCACCAGAGAGAGAGCGAGAGCTGCATGTTGCTTTCCGGCCAATGCACCAAATGTTAAATTTCCTTTATTCATTCTTTTTTTTCACACATGCACAATCGAGAGAACACTCTTTACACGGGCAAAACACATGTATATATATCGAAAAAAATATAAAAATTCCAAAAGGGAAAGAAAAAGAACAAGAAAAAAAACAAAAGAATAATCAGAATCAGAATGTATCATAAGACCAGGCGTACAGAATCTACCCGTATGCGCGAACGATCGTTTGAGGAAATTTTTAAAAATGTAGTAGCATCGGGAAAATTTTTTTGAAAATTTAATAACATCTGAGGAAATTTTTTGATAAGTATTTTCTCTCATGGAGGAAATTTTTCAATGAATCCCAGTTTATTTATGTATACATCGATAAGACCCTTTTACTTTTCTTTTGAATAAACTTCTAAAAGACTCATCCGTGTCTCTATCGTAGTGTCAATATCGCCTACCTTTGTTTACGTTCATCATGCATCTTGCCATTTCTTTCACTCTGTCTCTTCGTGTCTATTCTTGATACAGCACGCACTGTTTGTGTTCTCTTCTTTTCTTCCTATAATTCTGCCTAATGGAATGCCATTACTTACTGTTTTTTCTCTGTTATTACATACAGGTGCTATTGTATGTGCGTATGCGTACACAACCATTAGGATGACTAATATATGGTCATCAGCAACCGAACTGAACCTTTGTTTTTGGTTGGAGTTTAGTTCAATTCGGATTTACTTTCGAAAAATTATTTCGGGTTCGGCTCAGTTCGACTTCGTTTTTGAAAAGCGGTTCGAGTGTAGTTCTATTCTAGTAGTCCTAGTTCCATAGAATGAGGAGGGTACGATAGGTGGAAGTTTGACTCTGAGATGATTAGCGTGTCATTTTTGGAGTTGATATCGGTGTAAATTAATACTTATTGCAAATTCACTGAATAATTATTTTACCCGAATGAAAGATAGACAATGATTGTTTCGTATAAAAAAATGAACAATATCAAGTTTAGAAACTTGTTTCTCCTATTTCAATTAGTTTAAATCGTTTACGAAAAGTACAAGTAATCTGATTACCTGAATCAAACAATATTAAATAGTAGCATTTTTTTAATGTGTATATGCAATGTGTTAAATAGTGGTAGTTGTTTTTTTTTTTGAATAAATATCTTCAACAAGAAAACTCATTTTTTTAATTGAATTTTATAGTGAGGAAAATTTTTTATTTTACCGGCAGATTCTGCACGCCTGCATAAGACACAAAGCACATGAAACAGAGTGAATCACAAGACAAGCAGACTACACAATTACACAAGTAAGAAAGGATAAATGAGTATCTCAAGATCTAGCATGGCCACTGGCCATGACACTGGCTTTGTAAAAAATCATAGCACGCCCTCCTTCCTAATGTTGAGTGCTTTAAGCCATTACTGCTGATCACTTTACCTTCAGTTCTGAGTGGCGCCTCTAGTTTTTTGTATTTTCTTTAATAAATTTAATTAAAACTTCTTGTTATTATGAAATGATAAAGTTGAACAGCGAACGGCCAAATCGATGACTCTTTCTCCAATGTAATTTCTAATCTTATTTCAATCATACTGCTAAATAAATAAAAATTGTAGACAACTCTGCATACATGGAATATTTGTTCCATAATTAAGATTCACATCTTCTACAATTTTTTAACGAAATATTTCAATTTTTTTCCTGAAGTATGTTGATTTTCGTAATATCTTCCGAAATAAATTACTTATTTGTTTATAAGAATAATCTCTTTTGTTCAAAGGACACCCAACCGACCATCCGATAAGCATTTCGACACGTCGATTTAAGGTTACTCTGGGCATCGAAATTTCAAATGGGTCCATCGGATTCTCACTTTCCGGTAAGTCAAAGGCTCGGCGATAGATTAGTCAAATTGCTAACAGTTTTCGAAAATTAAAAAAAACTTTTAATCGAATAAAAACATCTTTTGCGTGTCTCTAACTACAGAAAAGATTGTTTTTGGAGTCTCAGATACCATATAAGGGATTTATTTGATAAATGATTTGTGTGATTAAGTATAAAATTAATATTAAAAAAACTTTTCAAAGATTCAAAATGCAAAATATGTTATGGCTGTGTATTTCGTCAAAAACGCTTATGAATATTGGTCTTACTTGTTATTTTTCATCAGTTAATGTTAAATATTTTTTAGAAAACTATGAAATAAAGGAAAATATATGTTGAACATAAATCACCCTACTAAAGTAGCTGAATGAAAGAAACATTTATAAATTATTTTTTTGAAGAAACTTAATGAAATAAAATCAACCTCACCACTTGATTAACTGTTATTCTGCTAGGCTTGTTTCTATTGGAGTGCATTCAATATTATGCTTCTAATATGTATATTTTCTCGAGCACTCGAAACTT